GCTGCCGCTGCCGCTAACGTTGCAAGGGGTCATGGATGGTGCTGGTGATGCCACGTCTGCGGCAAACAATGCTGATGCTTAGCCTCAACAAACAAACACACACCCCCACCACATACACCGGACTATGCCTGTGTGTGTGAGTGTGGGTGGATGAAGAATGCCGTCCCCCTTGAATGGCGACTGGCTTCCGTTTCCTGTTTCGTTGGGCTTTCAACTCAACTCGAATCCTGTTTGCCGTTTAATTAGAGACACACACACAGAGGGAGAGATAGACGCACACCCAGAATGAGAGGCACAACCTCCTTGCGTTACGTCATGGCTGCTGTCTGTCTGCGTGTGTGTGTGTGTGTGTGTGTGTGTGTGTGTGTGTGTGTGTGTGTTTGTGTGTGTGTGTGTGTGTGTGTGTGTGGGTGAGCGTGAACTGTGAGCGTATAACGATGTGGTAGGTAATCAGAAACTGCTTTTAATTATTCAAGGTTCCATTCTGATGAATGAAGACAACAACGATAACAGCGACGACGACCAGCGACCAAACGGCGCAATAAAGGCAGCAACATGGAGGAGCAGAAGGGAGGAGCATCAGGGAGCAGGCAGCAGCAATAGCACAAAGAGCAACAGCAGCAGCAGGCAAACGAATGCCAAAGAAACTGCTGACTGCCTGCCGTCCGAGTTCGAGTCCGAGTCCGAGGCAACAACAACAAAAACGAGAAGGGACGTGTGAGACGCTTCTTACGCGTCACAACTTTTATACCCGGCAATCAGTACTACATCTGCAGCTTAGCGGTGTTTTGTCCATTTTTACATATTTTTTAAATACACTGGTTTCAGTGTGAGCATATAGCAGTCTGCAGCCAAAACTTTGTGGCTCTAGCTCTTATAGGACGGACGGACAGACAGAGAGACATGGCTCTATCGACTCGTCTATTGATGCTGATCAAGAATACGGAAACGTTTCCGTCTGTGCGTTACATACAACCGTTATTCCCCCTTTTTACTCTTCGAGTACCGGGTATAAAAACAGCAGCGCCACTCACTCTGGACACTCTGACTGACGTTGGGCGAAATGGGGATTAAAACTCACTCACTGCAACAAAGTGTGTCGGCGGGTGTGTGCAGCTGCTGCTGCTGCTGCTGCTGCTCCTGCTGTTTGATGTTGGTCCTGTACTGTCCACCCTGGCTGCTGCGCTTGCCCCGCACGCCATTAATATGTATGTAGAAAAAGTCAAGCACTGATGGCAGCAGCAGCAGCAGCAGCAGCACCACCACCACCACCACCGCAGACCACAACAAACGCAAAGAAGTCACTTGAAAAATGCCCATCGACACACAGGTTGTGCTCACAGGTGGGTGGCGGTTCGGGTGCTGACTGACGGGTGTCCAGTGGCGGTTGGCCAACAATAAGACGCAACACAAATACATTTAATGCACATGTCTAGCAACGGGAACACAACGCGCTCTCTTCCATAAAAAGAGAGCGAAAGAAGGCCAAACAACGAGCCAAGAAAGGGTACAACCCACATGTGGCACCCTTGTTGCTGCTGCCACTTCTTGTGTCGTGTGGTGTTCAATAAGTGAACCGGCCACAGTTGACTGATGTAATAGAACCCCAACCGATCGCTCCTTTTGTTTAGCTTAAGAAGCAAAGCCTCTAGGAAAGGCATGGCAAGGCAAGGCAGAGAGCAACAAGCCATGCAGAAAAGTAAGCTGCAGCCTCCACAGCAGAGTGAAACCCGAACCGGCAGCAGCTAACCGTCTGTTTTTCAGTTGAAAATGCAAAAAGCAGAGTGAACAGTGGACCTGCCATTCCCCCCTCCCCCCTTCCTGGCAGGTGGCAGGTGTACCCCCCAAAGGCAAGTCCAAAAAGTAATTTTTAGTCACGCTCGTTAAAGCAGCAAAAGTTGCGGCTTAGGGCAATGGCGGGGATTGCCATTTGGACGGACAGCCAGAATTTGGCCAGCACTTCTTGGTTGGTTTTGGAAGTTGGTTTCACGTTGGGTTCCTACCGTTTCGTTTCGTTTCGTTTTTTAATGGGTGGACCCATTGTGATCGTGCCTGGGATTGTGGTCGCTGCACGGCGGTGGAGGAAGTGGAAAAAGGGGAATGGATGGGTAATGTTGATGTGAATGTGAATGTGATTATGTGCGTGCCCGTGAAACGCGGCCTTGCCAGGCTTTTGTTGTTAATTCTGTTTACTTTAAAATGCCCACCTGCAGGGGGCAGTGGCAGTGGCAGTGGCAGCAACAAATCCGTTGTCGCCGCCTCGTCTGGCCCCGGCAAATATTTGTCGTATTAATGAATGCACGGGTTAATGTGTTTACATGCGGCTGCTTCTGCCCTGCCACTGCCCAGGAGTGAGGTGTATGCGTGGGGGGGGTCCCTTTAATATGAGTGGGTGGCTGGCATGGAGCAGGTGGGTGGGGCATATGCAGTAGGGCGTAGGTCAAATCTGGCGGCGACAGCTATCAATTTTGCAAGTGGCGCGACGACATTGAAAGACGACACCAACTCTGTGTGTGTGTGTGTGTGTGTGTTCTGTGGCCGACAAAAATCAATAAGTGGTCTCCGCTTCCCAGACAGAGAGAAAAGGAACAGAAAAGGAAACAAACAGACAAAAAAAACAGAACAGATGGAAATGGCTAAGACCAGAACGCGGCTTTTACGATTGTCGAGAAATATTTTGGGGGGCAGAGAGGGTGAAAGAGAGAGAGAGAGAGAGAGAGAGAGAGCTCATTGACCGTTATACGGTTTACTTTTACGTACTGCCGCAAAAACAAATTATTGTACACATGAATTTCCACTTAAGTCCAATGAAAATGTTGAAACAATGCCCTGGCCAAGTGGCAGGCAGTCAGCGACAAGAGTTACTGACTGAGTGCGGGACGGCATCGGCCGGTGGGAGGTTGGAAAAACTGTTTTAAAATGTAAATTTCGCTAGGAAGCCGGCATTAAGGCCAATAAACAAAGAGTAAATGTGCCATTTAATAAATGCGAAAATAAAAAAAAGAAATATTTATATATATACGTAATAAGAGAAACGAAAAACGAAACCAGAAATGCTCCCCCTGCAACAAGAGTGCAGAAAGTAGGGTAACGTCTTGTCCATGGGGCAGGGTCCAGCCTCCCAGATTCAGAGTCAGTGTCAGAGCTGAAGCAGCAACGATAGCTGCTGGGAACCAAAGGACTGGGGGTAGGCAATAAGTTAAATTGAATTAAAAACAAATTAATTAAATCCCCCATGAAAATTGTGCTGCGAGCTGCTGGCAGCTAAATGGTCCATTCCATCCCGTCCTTACGCAGGATGCAGGAGGCGGGAGGCTGGGCCTTTAAGTGCCTGGAGTAACATTAATTTTCGCATAATTAGCTAACAAATTTTGAAGGCCTCAAATTTTTCGGGACACACACCTGAGCTTACGGCCAAAGAGGCATCAATCACAACATGACACGCCATGAGACGCGCTTTACGCAGGCAGATGATTACGTGAGTCCAGCCACCGGCAGGTTAGACAATCGTCAGCTGATGAGAGGCAGCTAGAGAGGGAGGGGACACACAATAGGAAAACTAATTCCACTAATAGGAATCATAAAAAGGTCAAAGGGATAACCACGCAATAAATAATGGCTTTGGAATATTTATTATTGGAAATGCCCCTCACGTATGTATTCAATTACTTGTTGAACCACCAGCCAAACCCAGAGAGAGACGAGACCCAACCACACACGACACTCAGAGCCATCATACGTCTGTCTGTATGTCCTGTCTGTCCCGTGCTGTCCTGTCCTGCCTGTCTGGGTGTGTGGCCAGCGAACTGCGGATTGCTCGAGAGGAAATCATATTTTCTGTTACTGTGGCAGAATGAGATTATTAAATGGGTTTTTGGGGTAAAACCCAATAAGGCCTTGAGCTGACTGTGGAGTCAAAACAGCAGACGGCGGAAAGTAAACAGTAAACCTGAAGCAGGACGCAGAAGGAGTGGCAACAGAATCATAAGGAAGCTGAAACGACAACGGGTCTGCCTCGTGAAATGTGTAATGGCTTGTGGTGTGAGCGCGTACGTGATATGTATACATTGCAACTAAACACAAACATACACATACATTGTGTCGTCTGCCGACCCGACTCTCATTCGGCATCTTTGGGTGACTTTTAAAGGTTCATTTGTGTGCACCTACCTACCCGCAACAGTTGTCGTGGCTGTGTCTAAGCCAGGTCCAGGTCTGCAGCAATTTGTAGCCATTTACTGATACATATGTATCTCTGCCTTCATCTTGTATCTGTTGCTTCAAATCCAAGGCCATGGTCCAGCAGAAATACTCTGGAAATAAAAAGTTGAAGGCGCATTCGGCACGTATTGTTTGTCCTCTCGATTGGGCCATGATTATGTGTGTGTGTGTGTGTGTGTGCCTCAGTCAGCGTCTGCAGACTACATTCAATAAATATTTAAGCTCTCGTGCTAAATGAAGTTGCCCAACCCAGAGCAAAAGGCGGAGCAGCAGCACCACTCAAATTAGCATCAAAGCTCGTCCGGATACAGCGGCCTCCACTCCCCTGCCTCCGTTCCGCCCACTGTGGCCTCAGTTTTGTTAATTGCGGACGGAAACCGACGGGACAGAGCAGGACAGGACAGAGCTGTGAAATGCGCAAATTGCACTTCAATTGTCTGGTTGCAAACAAACGAATAAACGAATAACGAATGAATAGGGAATAGGGAATAGGGAACAGGGAAACAAGACAGCAAGACTTCCGACCATCTAATGATGGGAATTGATGGGAGTTGCGCCAGTGCTCTCCACTCACGAACGTGTCACGTGTCCATCACTGACCGAAGCTGCAGCGGGCCTTGGATAACAAATAAAACTCCTCAAAGCGCTGAGAGCGAGCGAGCGGATAGGCGGTGCGAAGCTTATGCAAATTATTTCGCAATGAGCAGCCAACGAACATGTCTTTGAACGTGCAACGATAGGGCAGAGAGAGGGGCAGCATGCTGGTGGCAAGATGCGAAATGGATGTCATCCTTCCGCTCCATCTGACTCTGGCACCCACACCCAATCGCATTTTCACAATGTTGCAACGTAAGTTTGGCTGGCAAATGCAAATTAAAATTCAAGCAGCGACAACGTGGCGTATGGGTAAAATTTGCATTTGCATTTGCATCGCCCCGCCGTCATCTTATTCCCGCACTCTACCCACACTTATTCCCCCCCCCCCCCCCTTCAACCATGTTGTTCTTGTTCTCACCTTTGCATTGACTTTTGCCACAGCTGCGGTGTGTTCGTGAGACGTGGCTGAGATGGCAACGGGAACGGGGACGTAGGCGGCTACAACAAATACACAAACTGCTGATTACAAAACGAAAATTGAAAATCTTAAGCTCTTCTGGCATATTGAAAACGGTAATCGGGTCATGGCTGGGACTGGGACGAGGACAGGGACAGGGCCAAGGAGCAAACCACTTCACTTCACTTCACTTCATCCAGCAAATACACGAGCAGCCCCCGAGCCCAAAGCCCATAGCCCATAGCCCAACCCAATAGCAATCAGAATGAGCCCAAACTTTATTTCCAGCAGCTGTTTAGACTATGAGCCACGTGTGCTCCTCCATTCTGCACCACTTTGCTCTGCTCTCCTTTCATTTAAGTCAACTGTCAATGTTTTGTTTTGTTTCAGTATTGTTTTGTTTTGTGTCTGTACGCTGGCAAAGATGTTGCCGGCTTTGCCATTGCGATTGTCTTTGTCTTTGGCTTTTTGTGGTCGTTGATGGTTGTTGCCTTCGACTCTTGCCTGCCAGTGGCATCCATCCCAGTGCCAGAACTCCACTCCACTCCAGCACACAGATAAAGTCAAAATTGTGTCGAAAGTCGAAACTGATTCTGGTGCCGTGCATATTAATGAGAAGAGCGAGATCAAACGGCTGTGGCAGGAGCAGGAGCATGAGCAGGAGCTGGGGGAGTAGCAGGACCTGGCACGAGTGCACCGAGGCGCCATCGCCATCGCCATCGCCGTTCCAGTGCCAGTGCCATCCCAGCGAAAAGTAATAAAGTTGCGGTTAAATTAAATTGTGCAGATGTATCGATAAAGCTTTACGAGAGCACAAGAGGGGGAGGCCCTGTGCATTCCCCCCCCAACAGATTGGGGTCTCAGTTTTTGTTGGGCTTGGGCCTTGGATTGTATTGAACAGGATGGGAGATGGGCGTAACAGCTTCCGATTGCAATTAGAAAGGCCAACCAGCAGTCAGAAATTGATCGCTTGCAGTGTTTGCAGCTAAGTTGTTGCCGTGTCCAAGAGACACGGGAAAGAGACACGGCCATGCGGTGGCACAACAATAACTGATTAAAATGTTGGCCACAAAACGTATTAACATGTCGGCTGCAGAAGCCCACAATTTGGCAGTGATGACAGCCCAACAGTCAACGGTCGACAGTCGACAGTCGACAGTCAGCAATGCGACAGGCGACTGTCGACAGCCAAACTGAGGGCAAGGTACAATGACAAAGTCATGGAAAAGAAAACAGAACATAGAACACAGGCAGAGAGAGCGACACACTGGGAAACATCGGAGGCGAACAGACAAAAACAAATAAGGCAAGCATAAAAGTTTATATTGCGGTCTATGATTCACTAGCTCTCAGCGACCCCTCCCCCCCCCCCCCCCCCTGCCCTTGATGTTCCTCGCGGGGTGAGGGGCCGACAAGGGCCTTTGCGGTTGGCTTTGGTTCGACCTCGGACAGGGACAAGCGGCGCGCCGGCTGGATGCCACACCGCACAGTCACAGTCACCGTCACCGTCACCGTCACAGCTGCAGTGGAAACCATTCGAAAATTTTTGATATTTTACCATTGCCCTGCTTGCGTCTGTCTGGGTGTGCGTAGGAGATATGTGTGTGTGTGTGTGTGTTTCACAGACAAAAACAAGTGCAAGGGCATGGGCATGGAAATGGGCAAATGAGTCACAGGTTGGCATCTTGGTCTCGAGGCATCCCCGACCCGAGAGCTAAATTGTTCGAAACCCATTTACTTAATGGATATAATAAATTTTTCTACAAATTGAAACTCGTAATTTCCATTGTTCTCGCGCTGTTGCTGCTGCTGCTGCTGCTGCTGCTCCTTCGTTGCTGCTCCTCTGCCAGCGCCATTGTCTTCCTTCGTGTCCCTTGACGTCCTCGTCAGTGGTGTTGTACATGTGGCTGGCTGGCTGGCTGGCTGGCTGGCTGGCTGGCTGGCTGGCTGTAAGCAGGCTGTGGCCAAAATTTCACTCGCTCCGACCAGCAGCCTCCTGTGCTCTTGTGCCGAGCTCAACCGTAAAACTACTTGTAATTACGTTAAGCATTGTGGCTTCCACTCGTCCCCTTGCACGTTCGCTTCATGTTTGTGTCCCTGGCCCTTTCTCTTTTGCCCTCTCCCTTGGGCTGTGTTCGTTTCAGGGCTGCCTGGGATTGCCCGTGTCAAATTTGTTGGCCCAAAAAACGACCACTTAACCCATTGACACCGACAAGTCACAGCGGCAATCACGAAGGGAATCCAGTCTTCCAGGCGCACTGTCATTGTGGGGGGTTAAGCGATGATCCCGATGCTCGTGGGGCTGCCAACCCAAAGTGAAGATCAACAAGGGGCTAACCCACACACACACACACACACACAACACACACACACTTACGTACTCCACTACGGAAATGTAATTTGTAGGCAAGGATAAACATCAGCAGGTCCTGCCTGCCTCACTGCCTGGCTGCCTGGCTGGAATTAGTGCCGGTAAAAATGTAATGTCCTTAATTCGCTTTAAACATACCAGACATGGGGGAGCTGGAGATAGCGGCCCAAGACCAAGCCCCAAGGACCCAAGAAATATGTTTTGAGTGTTCCTTGTGTTTGTGGCGCCCCAACTTAATGTCTGGCTTCATAAATTTTGTGTCGGTGATGTTTAATTTGGCAACGGTAACTCATGTCTACTTGGACTTAGGCCCGCTCTCTACACACACACACACACACACACAGACTCTCCTTTGCCGACTGCTTCATTTGGGTACATAAATAAATTCGCTTTATCCTCCACCCTACGACAGAAAGAAAATACAACGCCAGGTAGCTAGCTGCCAGACAAAAGATGGATTGTTATCGCTCAAGATAACAGAGAGAGCACACACACAGCATAGCCATATCCTTGCCACATCACACCTTTTGCCGGAACCACCCCACAATCCTGCCCCGAAAACGTTATTTCATTAGTGTCTAAGTCAAGGTGGGGTAGCGTAATGCTGGGGGGCCAAAAACTTTGCCATTTCCTCTAAGTACGTGCAAATTTTTCATCAGCAAATTAAGAATACGTCGAGACGCTGAACCCCTCCCCCTCCCGCGTGGGCCACGAAAACCAAAGCAAAGTGGAAGAAGATAATTTCGATGTACCATGAGGCACTTCCTATCAGTGGAAGAGCCGCAGAGTGCGATTGCGGGCTCCATGCGGAATGGTATCCCATGCTGCTGCCATTCGGAATCAATCTCTGAAGTGGCAAGTTTACGTGTTTGTGGCCAGTGGTGAGTAAACATAATTTGTGTATATCGATATTAACATTTATGAGTTCTTTAATAAGTAATTATGGCAAAGCTCGACAATATAAATCGTAGCGGGAATGGGTGGTATGCCGCATGCCTAGGCAGTTACATACTAAAAAATTCAATTAGTGTGCTGCAAAGCCAGATAGTGAAAGTTGCACCACATATGCCATATGACAGCAAGGGCTTACAAATACATATACATATACATATACATATACATATACATATACATATACATATACATATACATATACATATACATATACATATACATATACATATACATATACATATACATATACATATATTAATGCGGGGTGTGTGTGTGACACATACTCGTGAAAATGTTAAATCCAAACAATGAAATCAAATGATTTAATTATAACAGACAATAAAGCAACAGAATAATTGCGGCCAGTAACTGCAGTTGGAAGGGCTCTGCTCTGCTCTCTCTGTCATTGATGCTGCCTTCCACAACGGGATGTCCCTTCTTCTGAGGGGTAGGCTTTGCAACAATAACCACAAACTACGCCAGACAAACGGACAGACAGACACTCGACAAACATCGGCAGCAGCAGCAACAGCAGCAGCAACAATGAATTGCAATAACAATTCAAATACACACACAGAGAAGCAACTGCCACAGCAATAACAATTGCAATTAAAATTCGTGTGCAAAAACAACAGAAGCAACAGCAGCAGCAGCAGCAGCAGAGGCAGCAGAGGCAACAGCAACAATATCAACATTTAGCACTCAGCCAATAAAAAATAATGCAAATAATTCACGCCAATAGCAACAGCAACAACATGTTGTAAACTGTTAAACAATTGATTAACAACAATTAGCCGCTTATTAAATTACAATAACAACAAGCAAAACAACAACAACAACAACTACAAAGCCAATTGCAATTAAGGCAATTCGGGCAAAACTCGCAACATGCCACACAAAACGAGTGCAGCTCCTCCTACCGAGTGCCACAACATGCAACACTCCAGACTGCAGCTGCAGCTCCATTACCATGCCCCATAATGTCCGTTGTCCGTTCGTCCTCTGTCCGTTGTCCACGCGCCCACTGATGCGGCTAACAGCTGCCTGCGGACAAGTCAATCGCTTAGAATATAACGCGCATAAATTATTGCCACCATGTCCCCATCCCTCCATTCCTCCCTGAGTGCGTGTGCCAGCAAATGCGATTTAATGACGTGAACGGTTTAACCTGGACAGGCAATGGACACACACACACACACAGCCACGTTGCCAATTACTCACGCATTATGTCTAGTTGGAGTTGTTGTTGTTTCTTGTTGGGGTGTTGGGGCGGCACTCAGAAGGGGCGTTGAACAAACTTCAAAAGTGTAGCATACTTATTGGCTTACCTTCGGGGCTGACTGACTGACTGGCTGGCTGGCATGCTGCTTGTTTGTACGCAGTCAGACGGAAAGAAACGCATGCAAATTTTAAAACAACACATGCTGACAGGCAGCAGTAACAGCAACAGCAACAGCATCAAGGAGAGCAGCAAACAAACAAAAGCAAAAAGTAAAGGCCTGAGCCTGAGCCTAGTCCTGGGCTAGGGTCTCTGAGGCAAAAGTTGCAAATGGCTAGCCGCAAAATGGGCGACAAATGTGAAAAGTTTTTTGCTTTAATTTCCAACACCGCCAACTCGAAATGGCAGCCCGATCAATATAGGCAACACTCTCTCCTACTACACAGGCTCTAAATTTAACCAGAAAGAGGCTTTAGGCATATGCC